TTGGTTTTGGTTTAAAGAAGTGAAATTAAGAGTATTTTATTTGTTTAAACCTTTAGATTTATTTAAACTTTTAAAACACTAGAATATACCAAGAGCCTGTGCTGAGTTTTGACCTTTGAGCTCCAGATACTTCTGAAAGAGTTCTAACACATTATATAAGGCTAGGCACGAAGAGATTTCCCCTTCAACCCCATCCCCAGATGAGCAAGATCATCCCCAGAGGCCCTCCAGGTTACAATTTGACCAGGAACAAGGAAGAGCCATACCCTCTTATGCAGCTGAGTCTGTATACAGTAGGTGCTCAATAAATCAAAGATTAATGGATAAATGGATGGGAAGAAGGAATGAGAAAAAGTAAAGATTGGGGATATGCTCGGGCGCTGGTATATTGCACATTGGTATACAGCATTCATACAGTTCCAACAGGGTCATGGGTCCAGCCTTCATGAATTTGTTTAATGCTTGGCAATCTCTGATACTTCATGGGGGGAACTCAGCCAACAGTATGCCTGTACTCTGGGCTAGGATTTTTGTCCTAAGGCTTCCTTGTCCTTCCTGCTGCAGATGAGCCCTTGGATTCTGGAAATCTAGCGCAGTGGAGAGAGTACAGGGTTTGGAGTAGGAACCTCTCTGTCAATGAACACTTCAAATTCCAGCCCAACCCTTAGTGGTTCTATAACTTCTGAGCTAGTCACCTCGTCTCCTTGAACTTTGTTTTCATCAGAGCCTCACTTAAAATGCAAAAACACAGATTTCTTCATCTTTAGAATTTGGTAAGTCTAGAGTACCCTAGTCTGGTGGGTCACAATCTCGGGTGGTTTTTCTCTCTGGGGATATTGGGCAATGTCCAATAGGGAGACATTTTGGTCATCAAACTGGCAGTAAGAGGGGTGTGTGTGTGCCACTGGCCTCTAGTGGGTACAGGACAGGGATATGGCTCAAACAATGCACAGGACTGCCCCTCCTCCACCCCACCTAATTATCTGGTCCAAAAGGTCAGTAGTGCTGAGGCTGAGAATCCCGATGACCCTATGACCCCATTCACTCCTTTGCAGATATGTGTGTATGTGTGTGTGCGTCCAGTGAAGGGCAGGTTGGGGGGAGTTTACGGGAGGAACTCGGGGGTAAAGGACAAGAGGGTACTAGGAGAGGACCATTTTCTGCAGCATTCCTATATGGAACACCCTCCTTTACCTGTCAACTCTTCTAGGCCCAGCTTAAGTCCTGTATCCTCTGTGATATTTTCTTGGGGCACCCAAATACCCACTTCTCCCTCCCCTGGTCTCTCAAGGTTTGGCTGCTGATTCCCAGCTTACACTGTATCCATGCTAGGGGGCCCTGCCTTCACATTTCACACATACGCCCCGTATACATTAGGAGCTTGGCGATTAGGGTTCACACCTTCTCCCGAGACAGTTTACAAAATGGCGAAAGAAAGCCTGCGCTTGTGAAACCTTGGCATATCTCTGGTGAAGCCTGTTTTGAAATTTCTTGGGGAAGTGGCTGCTAATGGACTGATAATTGGTTTCCTGGCTTCCTTATGAAGTGTGAAACATTCTGCTACCCTGTCAACAAAGCATCAAGTATCCGAGTACTGCCTGCCATCAGGGTTGTCTCTTCCTTCCTGTTGGAGCTCTTGTGGTGGAGGACTAGCCAGACGTGGTAGTATGGGAAGGGCTCTCTCTTCTTTTGCAAGGAACAGGGTGAAATGGGCAGAGCTCTGGGAAAGGAAAGAAAATGTGCAGCCTGGCCAGAACGTGCCCACCAGGACACCAGGTTGAACATGTTTCCCAGGCAGAGATCGAACAGCTCTGAATCCAATATGCGGTGCTTGGACCCTCAGTAAATATTGTTGGATGGATGGAAAGTAGTACTACTTCCAACTGATTTTGAGCAGCGATCCCTGGAGATGTGAATTGACCAAGGAGGAAGACAGTGAGAGGGAAGAAACTAGCTCCATCTTTCAAAATGCTTTTCACTGTGAGAAACACCATCTTCTTTAAAACCTAGATGAAAAAAGGCCATCTATCGAGCGTTTACTACTGTGAGGGCATCGCAAAAGCCAACAAAATGATTCTGAAGTCAGCCTGCTGCAGAAAATGTTTGGGAACATGAAGGAAAGTGTGTATTTGTGTAGTCTCGGCAGGGCAATTTCCAAGTAAAGAGCTGTTTTGAAGAAGATGTTTCAAGAGAAGAACAATGCAACACTTTGCACTTCTTTGGACCATTGTTTGTAAAAATCTGAACCATTAAAATATTTTTTCCAATCTCCTATGAAATTCTAAGAAGGAAAGAATAGTTTGTCTGCTAAATAGTGTACTAATATTCATTGTGACTAATGTGTGGGAAAATTTAGGGCGTTTATGCTGACTCTTGCTAGAGGTGCTTTTGTATGCACATTTATCTCTATAAAATACAGAGACTGTATTCTTTTATATTTTTATGGATGCTTATAGACGTTGGCCCTTTCCTAGTGACCACCCCCTATGATACATCTGATCTGGGGTCAGGGTCAGAACCCCAGTTTAACATATCCCTCAAGCAAAGTATATGACCTGCTCTGTCAATGACCCACTTTAAGTAGTTGTTGCCAAGCATTCAGTGTGGGCAGTGAGGACTGTTCATGCCATAGTTATCTTGTTCTATGAATACGATCATAGATGCTTAGGATTTGGGGAGAGAGAATGGAGTGCTACCCTACTGGATAGATCAGTGAACCAAAATCCAGCAAGAGGATGCCCCGGCTGCCATCATGATGCAGAGCCAGGACTGAGAAACAAGTCTCCAGAGTTTGAATCCAAAGCTATCTCCGTGCACCAGGGCATCTGAGTACCATCTCTCACCCCCAGTTAGACTGTGAACTCCCTGAGGGCAAAGCCTGGGACCAATGGAAGTGTCAGCTTAGGGGCTGGGTACTCAGTAGGGAGCTGACAGATGGCGCTCCTTTGACTTCGTGGAATAGGAACGTGACCTTGCTGTGTGGTGCAAAGGCATGGGACTAGCTGGCTCTCTCTGGCCTCCTTCTCTAAAGCCAGCATCCCTGAGACTCAAGCTGTGTTCGGTTATACCCAGATGACCAGAAAAAAACCTGAGCAATGGGAGCGCCTTGGGGATGCCAGCCCCCTACATCCCAGAATCATCCAGAAGATGCAATACTGTGCTGGCCCCCCAGAGTGCCTGCTTCACAGTTCCCATCAATAAGCTTCAGGCTCCTCTTCCTTACTTTAAGCCAGAGTGCACTGCTCCATACTTGCCAGAACAGCTCTGTCTTTGTTTCTTCTCAGCTGTTCGTAAGCAGTGCCCAGCTCACTGGAGGCTGCCAGCCTCGCTCCTGGAAATGAAGAGCCTGCTGAGCAGCACTTCATGGCCCTCTGTTCTTATGGAAGGTTCTAGAAAGATTTCCTAAAACCCTTCCTCAGGGCCAAAGGGTCAAGTAAATTCTTGGAGGATTCGAGTGACAGCCCTCAGGTAATATTCTGCTACCTGCATCTCTCAGTTTGTGATGCAGGAAACTTTATCTTGTCCTAAGAAGCCGGCTGGCTTGGCCACCCACTTCATTCCCACTGGCTCTCTGCCCCAGAGGCCTGACCCTCTTCCAGTTCTCCCTGCCTTGTTTTATCTAATGGATTTCCAAGATAAAGCCCCCACAACACCTGGGACTCCCACAGTCTATACCTTTGTCTCCTGAGGCCCTGCCTCCAACTTGCAGAGCAGAGCCCGGCTCCACTCACCACCTCGGGCCTTTGTTCCTGCTTGCCCTGGGCTGTTCTGTGCCAGTCTCCCCTGACTCTCCTGGCCCCAGTACCCTTGGCTCCCAGGGTGCTACGAGGCTAACACTGTTGGGCACGATATTCTAACCACATCCGGCAGCAGAGATGGGCAGATTTTGTGCAATTTTATTTTTTTGCAACAAGGGTGTATATCTAAGAGCAATTTGTTCTTTAAACCTCTGCAAGAATCTTTGCATAAACTCACAAGTCATCACAAATGCTTTGTCAAAACAAAGTGATTTTTTGGTTTGAAAATGTATGACCCAACTCACCAACTCATACGCCAAAGTCTCAGTTCTCACTGATGTTCCCTGGTAATCCCCAGGCTATTTTCTCCCTCTACCCCGGGGGGCCACTCTAGTCTGTAGCACCTAGAGACCCCGAGAAGCCCACTGTGGTGGGAGAAATGATCAGAGGGTCAGGCTTCTGCCCTCCCCTGCGAGAAGCAGATGGAAAGAGATCGAGAAGGTGGGGTGGCGAAGGTTGGGGGAAGAAGAGGTGGTAGCCCAGAGAGGCTGGAACCTTTGACTTCTCAATAGAGACCAAGTGGGCCCCTCCCTTTGCTGCAAACAGCCCCTCATACTTGCCAATCTCACTGGGCCCAGGACTTAAAGTACTATTTTCGCCAGAAATTACGGTCATCCCATCCCAGAGGAAGGAAGAAGGGCTTCCTTGTTATTGCCATTGGATGGGCACGCCAAAGGATCAATAATCCAAAGACAATTTGATCCCCCATCCCTCCCCAACTCCAATCCGAGAAGAAGCAATTTGAGGAAACTCCTCATACCCTGGCAAGACCATGATTTCCCACCGTACCCAGAGGCTGGTACAGAGTCTACGATCTTACAAACCGGACCATCCCTTCCACCCTGGCTTGATTGTATGGTATCGCTGATGACAACAAGGGCGAGGAGCAAATGTCTGGGTGAGAGCCTGATGGACCAGGCCCCAGTGGCCTTTACCTTGCTCTCAAGGATCACTGGGGAGGGCAAGATGGCGTTGAAGAAGGCCCCCAAATGTCAAGAGCAATCATTCCCAGTGCCACAGTCCATGTTACTTCCAGAAATGAGGACCCGACCAGCAATGTTGGGAGGAACAGAAGAAACCAACGGGGGAAGCTGTTGTTAGGACCTGCGAGGTTCCCAAGGATGGGGCCAGGGATTAGCTAGCCAACGGGGCCCCCTGCCTCTTGGTGGAGACCCCAAAGAGGCCTCCTCCCCGCTCACTTACACACACAGCCTGGCTTCTTAGCCGACCACTGGTTATTCTTTTGGCACGTGATTGCCTTCTGCCCCACCAGCTCAAAGGCAGGCTGGCACTCAAACTTGAGTGTGTCACCATGACGGAACCGGGAGCCTTCCCTCCGGCCGTAGGCAGGGATGCCGGGATCGCCACAGCTACCCTGCTCGATCTCTGAAAGACAGGAAGAAGAGAAAACAGAGACAAAAGGTGACTTCCTACCTCTCTTGGAGCGGGAGGTCCACATTACACGCTCTGCTGCCCCTCCGCCTTGACTCAGTGCCCGGAGTGACACAGGTAGGACCTTTCATGAGAAATCCTGCCGTGTCCCTTCAAAACCCCATCCTGGGATCAAGAGGCCTTCCAGCCAATAATATGCCTGAGACTCTGGGTCCACACAGAGCCTTCGAGGGGCTTGGATATTTTCACTCAGTGAAGGTGGGTCTCCATCCTCTGTGAGATACCTGTCCCAGGAGCTAACGAATCTCAGTGGGGCGCGTCCTGAACTTGCCTCTGCATTCAGACGACCAGAGAGACCTTCAGCTCAGTCCATTCCTGAGCGGCAAAGACAAGCATGAAATGAGGCTGCCTGCCATTCCCCAAACCAGAGATTAAGTGAGAATCAATATTCGCTGCCTTCTGACATGGAAGCACTTTCATAAAGGTTTTTTTTTTAATTCAATTTGAGATGGTGCAGGTAAAATGAAACAAGTGGCTCACTGAGTGTGCTTTTAAAGTTCGTTTGATTCAACCGTGTGAGTCACACATGGAGTGGGTTCCCTGAGACAGCTCGGGGGCCCGGACGCTGGGGGGACATGATGGGCTGGCAGCCTCACGGGGGAGGCAGTTAGGCCCTGGAGGCTTCAGGAAAGGAGGCTGTCCTGGCCAAGTCCCTGGAGTTTCCTCTGGAGTCACCCCACTTCCAGCAGCCCTGTGCTTGGTGCTGTGAGAGATGAAGGGGAGGGGAAGGGCGGGGGAGGGCAGAAGGGAGGAAGGAGAAGAGGAGGAGGAGCTGTTCCCGGGGAGGAAGGCCTCCTGCGGGAAAGACAGGGAGTAATGGATTTAGTGGCAGATGGTGAAGGGAGGACAGTAGGGTCCTGTGACTTGGAAGGGAGGCAGCTGGAGTAATCGGGGAAGTTTGTTGGACACCTTCCCAGGCTTGTCAGGCCAAAGGGACCTTGCCTTTGCTGTAGATGCCATAATGAGCCTTCAGAATGCACAGTCCCCGAAGTAGCCGTGTGTGACCCTAACAGAGATCATGCTGCAAAAACTTTCTAACCACAACTGGTGGGTTTCTGTGGGCTGCTCAGGCTAGCCCCATGCACTGCCTTATATGGACATACTCTTGATTGTCACATTTGTGTTACCCTGAAAACCAGGGCCTCCAGCTCTCTGCTGAGAGCTGGCAGAACAAGGCATTCTCTGGCTGGGTGTGTGTGTGTGTGTGTGTAGGCATCCAGAACGAGCATCTAACTCAAATTTGGAAGGTGAGGCTGTGGGGAGTAAGGCATTAAACTTTAGCACAAAATTTTAGGGCAATCAAGACAAGTAATACCTTAATGCAATATTTTTTTAGAAAATCAAAACTAATGCATATAAATCAAACCTACACAGAAGAATAATATCAGAACTTAAAAAAGACCAGATCTGACTCAGCACTTGTGTGACTTACTTCTGTGGCCTCACCCTCATCCTGGCCCTCAGAGCCTCTTGTTATTTAAAATGTTGATATTTTTTATCATGGATATTTTGCATTAATCTTCATTTAAAAAATACCACATTAAATTATTTAACTTTATTTAACTTAATTATTGAGCAGCTCCTCAATTATTCGGCAGCTCCTGCCTACAATTTATGCCCAAGGCACATGCCTCTCTCATCTCAGCCCAGTCCCAGCCCTGGCATCAGGGAAGGCTTCTTGGAGGAGGTGACATCTACACTGAGGCCTGAAGGCTGTGCAAGAGCCAGCAGGTGAAAGGAACAAGTGGGATTCATTGTGGCATTATTTACAACAGCCAAGACATGGAAACATCTAACTACCCATCAATGAATGGGTAAAGAAAATGTATATGCGTGCACGCTTGTGTGCACACACACACACATACACATGACTATTATTCAGCCATAAAAAAGAAAAGAAGGAAATCCTGATATTTGCAACATGGAGGAACCTTGAGGGCATTATGCCAAATGAAATAAGACAGAGAAAGACAAATACTGGATGATCTCACTTATATGTGGAATATAAAAGAACAAACTCATAAAAACAGAGTGGGGTGGGGTGGGGGAGACTGATGAAGGGGGTCAAAAGGTACAAAGTTTCAGTTATAAGAAGAATAGGTTCTGGGGGTGTCATGCACGACATGGTCACTCTAGTTCACAATACTGTATTGTATCTTTGAAAGCTGCTAAGAGAGTAGATCTTAAAAGTTCTCAACACACACACACACACACACACACACACACACAAACTGTGAGGTGATGTGATAAACGTGTTAACTAACCTGACTGTGGTAATCATTTTGCAATACATCCATGTGCGAAATCATCACTCTGTACACCTTAACCTTATGCAATGTTAGATGTCAATTATATCTCAGTAAAGCTGGTTAAAAAAAAAGAAAGGAAGGAATGGGAGGGAAGGGAGAGGGAGGGCCTTCAGGTAGGGAAGAGCCCATGCAAAGTCTCAGAGGTGACACCGTTTGTCGGACTGCAAGGAGAGCAGAGATCACAACTAACTCATCCTTAGTATAAATGAGTTTGCTGTAGAACTAATACATTGGTCCGGTGTCGTGCTGGCAGCCAGTCTGAGCATTTGAATATTTCATCCTCTAGTAACCCCAGGAGCGAGGTACTATTCTTCCGACTTTCAAGGCAAGGAAACCGAGGTACGGAGAGATCATGTAGCTGTCCCAGGTCATCTGAGTGACCTGAGATCCAGACGTGGGCTGTACGGTCCCAGGGTCTTACTGCTGCACTGCATTGCCTTTCTCCGAGTACAAACACAGGGGTTTTCTGCAAGGTGGCAGGAGATAAGGCTGCAAAAGGTGTGCGGGGCCAACCCAAAAAAGGCGCTATGCAATCTGTTAACAAGACTGGACTATGGATGGGAGGCAATGGGGAGTCAGCAAAGGGCTTCATTTGATTTAGCATTTCATATTATGTATTTTAAAGGATCACCCTAACTGTTGTCTGGAGAATGGTCTGGGGGCAGCAATTCTGGAGGCAGGACGATCATTCATTCATTCATTCAACAAAAACACAGCTGTCTCCTTAGCAAATACTACCGTGCTGGGCTCTAGGGGTGCGGCAGAGAACAAGGGAGACACAAGGCCTGCCTCCATGAAGCTTCCATTCTGGTGGGAGGCTCACAGTCATCTGGGAGATGTTTTGATGATATCCTGGCCTGGGCCAAGACAAAGGCGATGGGAGAGGCAGACAGATTTGGGAGGTGTAGAGCAGGGAACCACAGGCCACCCTGAGAGGGAGCATGTCTGGGATAAAGGAGAGGCCAGGATCTACTGAGGGTTTCGCTGGGTGCGTTTTCACTGAGACAAGCATGCAGGAAGAGGAGCAGGTCTGCGGGGTCACCAGTAAGATATGCTGAGTTTTGGGGTTCCTGTGGTACCTCCAAGTGGACACATCTAGTGGAGAGTGGCTACATGGATCTTAATTTCAGGAGAAAAGTCTAGCGTAGGAATATAGAATTTGGGATTCCGCTCACAGATGGTAAAAGAAGTCACGAGAAGGATGTGACAACCCACAGAGAGTGAGAGATGTCAGTCCTGAGCAGAACAGTTAGGAACCCCGGATGGGCCAGCAGAAGGCTGGACTAAAATCCCAGGCAGCATGGGGTCACAGAGGCTTGGAGAAGAAGGACTTTCGAGGAGGAGATCTCCAGCCTCAAATGCTGTGGGGAAGTTTAGGTGGGACAGATGAGCAGGTTAGTGGAAGGAGGTCACTGCTCATACTGACTGGCAGGAGTAGCTGAGTGCAGTGACAGGGCCACACACTGTGGGAGAAGAGGAAGATGATACAGGAAGAGCAGATGACTTTTAAAGGAGCCATTTCTTGGGAGTGAAAGAAGAGCACTTAGGTGGTCATTCATGAGGAACACGGCCTTGAATGGGGCAGCTGAACATATTTTTAAGATTGGAGAAACTTAACCATGTTTAAAGTAAGGAAACAGAAAGACACAGAGTATATGTTAGTTGAAGATCTAGAGGACAGAGGGGGATGACAGCCCGAGGCCCTCGAGCAGGCAGGGCAGTGGACCCACAGCACACTGCGAGGCTAGCCTGAGAGATCAGGAAGATCCTTCCTGCATGGCAGGAGGGAGGAGGGATGAGGTGCTCACTGAGTTTTCAGGTGCGATACAGGAGGATGAAGGAGGTCCTGCGATGGCATGGGCTCTACTTTCTGAATGGAGGAAGGGTCCACTGGTCTCAGGGTCTTTGTTGAAGGAGGGGGTCTGGTCGTGGGGATAGGGATATGACATTTTTTAAAAAGATTTTTTATTTATTTGTTTGACAGAGAGAGTGAGTACAAGCAGGTGGAGTGGCAGGCAGAGGGAGAGGGAGAAGCAGGCTCCCTGCTGAGCAAGGAGCCCGATGCAGGGCTCGATCCCAGGACCCTGGGATCACGACCTGAGCTGAAGGCAGTTGCTTAGCAACTGAGCCACCCAGGCACCCGGAAAGGGGTATGATACTGACAAGAATGTCTGAGGCACTCCCCTTGGAGAAGAAGAAATCACGGCCAGATGGATTGCCACCTGAGGCCCCCGGAAGGTGGAGGTGACACACGTACAGGGCAGCCCCCCAGCAGGGCTATAGGACATGTCCCCGAAGCCCTTTGTAGCTGGGTGCATGCGGAAGTGGAGAGGCTCCAGGACTGATTGGGAGCTAAGGATATTGTTAAAAGAACGGCAGATCACTGATATGAGGAATTCTTAATCTCAGGAAACAAACTGAGGGTTGCTGGAGTGGGGGTGGGGTGGGAGGGATGGGGTGGCTGGGTGATGGACATTGGGGAGGGTATGTGCTATGGTGAGTGTGGTGAATTGTGCAAACTGTTGAATCACAGATCTGTACCTCTGAAACAAATAATGCAATATATGTTAAGAAAAAAAAAAGAAGAAGAAGAAGGTAGCGGGAGGGGAAGAATGAAG